CGAGGAATGTTGAGAGAGGGGTTTCGAACACAGCGTGCGGTTATGCATTTAAAACACGCAGTAATCTTTTGCAGAATCACCTCGATTTGTTATTTTTCGAGCGCATACACTTACTGAGACCACTTCAAAATCACTCACACATATGTTCACGAGCTGTCATATGTCAATATACGTATATACGATGTCTACATACGCGTACTTTGTGCGTATGCCGTTATAGTATATTGTATTGTATAATTTGCATCGCTAACTGTCTGTGAAACTCATTGACACAGGTGAGTGCGTCAAAAGTCTACAGAACAATACGGCCACTCAAATTTGGTATTGTGTGACGTAAAACGAACGAAGTTGCTTTTGAAGCAATCAGTATCATGGTATGGTGTTCCTGTTACGCATCAGCCTTACAAGCGTGTTATACTCGGACTCATAACCTTAAAGGCGTATCTTGCACAGCTGTACGCTGAGTGCGGATAATTTTGCATGCATTGCAAAGCATTGTTCGAGCGTTTGAGTGACGACACCTCATTTAAAGAGATACTTTAAGGCGTAAAAAAAGCCACCAGAGAACTACGAGCACGTTTCGTTTATAGCGTTCGAAACACATTGCTATGGCTCGCTATATCCAGCCCGGAATAGTATCTTTGCAACCAAAAAGTAAATACATAATTTTACAGGTGCGTGAGCAACATGAAAACAAGTGAACGGCTATTTCGTGATCCCATGATGTACAAGAAATTTTTGTATGTGACAAAACATGCGCGATATAACCTTCGCTGCAAAACAACAAGCATGTGTCTGGAGGTGCAAGTTACTTCAATGAAGAAAAAAAAAGACCGTTCGCACGATTATAACTATCTGTAGCGATTCCATTTGTTATTCAATCATGCTGCATAGCACTCCAAAGTATTACGCAGCAATTTATTAGAAATTGGCACCACGAGTGCAAGGTGGAACACGCAAAAACGTCGGCATGGCAAGAATGCCCGCACGGCATTACGGCACCTCAAACCGGAAATCGGTGCAGACGGCCGCTGTAGCCCACAATCCATTGCGTGAGCCACGATTTCTCTATCCACCTATTCTAACCGTGGTCCTACAGGATGCATGCACGGGCACACGGACAGATCGCCCCACTCATCATCATTCACTCCGTGAATATGCTACAATTTTTCATCTTTTTTTAATTAGTGACTGCGATGGCGCTACTTATAGGCGTAAGCGTGAGCGCCCGCTGCTTCACACCTACATATAGCTCCCTTTAGCGAGAGCTGGCGTGATTTTTTTTTTTATATTCTTATTCTCTTAGCCACAGTGCAGAGTAACAAACCAGACTCTACTCTGGTCAAGGGGACAGAATAAACAAAAATATTGAAAAAAATTATTTTTTTTTCTTTTTACGTTGTTTGAAATATGCAGTCTTGTTGAAACCAGAATCATTCTTTTTTTTGCTAAGTGAATTCTTTTCTCTAAAAATGTGATAATTCAAAATTTGTGAGGCGGCCTGCCATGCCCTTATCTTACGTAGCAAGTAATTCCTTGCTTTTCAAGCATCATAGGCGCATGGAGAGGTTAGAGTTCGCAAGCTGGAGGCATGTTGGCACATTCAGAAAAGAATGGGCCAAAAACTGCGAAATTGAAAGAAAGCAGAGTCATCAAGCTTTCTGTGGGGAAATCTGTATCTATCCGGAGACATCTCTGGGGTGTCATCATTGGCAAGCACTAAAGCTAATATCGTTTGGCCATTAAAATAAATCAAGCCAGCTTGAAGGACATGCGAAAATCTGTTCGGGCAACATATTTTGACATGATATTCATTTCAAGGCCTCTGGGCAAATAACGTGGAAACATGGTGTAAATTCAACAAAGCCCAGTTAAGGGGTGAACCATTCGTTCATAAAGAACACCTTCCAGCATTTGTTATTGAGACTGCTAAGCCAAGTTATCCGGAACTAGCTAATCCAAAATTTCTTGATAAATGCGTCCACAAAACCCTAACGAGTCATCGAATGGTCATGTGAGAGCAGGCTCCGAAAAACACTTTTCTCGTACACCAAACACTGAAAACATGCTATCTTGATGCTGTGCTCACTTTTAATGATGGCGATATAGCCTGGGAATGTGCTGAACCCTTTTGGAAGTTCGCCACGGCACCGCATAGTGCAGGGCCTTCGCACCCTTCAGCTGCGCCGACAGTACTTTGCCGACAGGGCTGCTCAGAACCTTATGTGACAAAGGAGGCTCGCCAGGTGAGACGTTTAAACACACAAAATTTATATTGGTGATAAGTATATGGCTTGTACCTACTGAACGGTCTTGTCGATTTTATGTTATCTCGTTGTGCTTTCGGGATAATCCACATTTTAAACTATAAATGCCATGATCTCAAAATACACTTTTTTGTACTTAAGTTCCTTTATCTGAAGAACCTTATATGGAATCATAGATTTCAGCCAGTATTTAGATAAGGTAATAGGCAGTATGCTGAAACAGAATTATTGATGTGTGAGGAAGTGCTTTTTTTTCAACGCGATATTTAATTGCTATTATCGAGCAATAATTAGTTACCTGAAGTAAGAAAAATTACAAACATTAGCGTCACAATTTAAAGCGCTAAATATCATTCAGTAAAAGAATGGCTTATGAACACGATGTTAGTAAAATAATTACTGTAACACTTACGGAATGTACGCTAACTTTGCCTAAATACATGAAGGGTATAAGGCTTACCCTGTTCCCCTAACAACCCTGTCTTTCCTCTTCTTGTTTTCTCCCTCTATTGAAGCCCATCAATGAAAAAATAAAATAGCAGCGTGCAGGAAAGTCAACCCACGGATGGAGAACAAAAAGGGAGAGAGCAGCATCTGAGAAGGTTGGGTTATCAACGCTGGGCGCGCGCTCATCAATTATGTTTTTGTTTACGAGCCCACAATAAAGGAAATAAAACAGGAGCATCACGGGAAATAAAACCTAGAAGCAGACCCGTAGCCACAATTTTTTTTTCAGAAGTAGGGGGGGGGGAGGCTCGTTGAAGGCCTCAAAAAACACCTCCTCAGTGAAACACCCTTCAATCTTAATTTCGTGGGGAAGAAGGAAGGCTGGGCTCCTGGCCTCACCGCTCCCCTGTCTACGGGCCCACCTGCAAGCGCAAACGTGGCCGTGTTCGTCTCTCTCTCTATGTTTTTTTAATAGCGGCAGATTGTAATTCAGTAAGCACAACTCTATAGCCGGCGACTTCAACGTATACAGTATGGAACTTAGGGCCTAGATTTGTCGTTGACTTTTGTGTCACTTCATGTCATTTTGTGTCACTTTACGCCACTCGATTTACATTACATGGGGCAATGCTCGGCTAACATATGTCGGGCACTAAAAAAAAGGTTTCACCAGTACACTACAATCAGTCAAATTGTGGCAGAACTATATAAAACAGCTACAAGTACAAACCCTTTTTTACTAGCGGCGAGTTCAACGTAGACTGTATGGACATTAGTGCTTAGCTTCGCCCACTCGACAGCATTCACGTCGTGGAGATGCGTGAACTTTTTCATTATTTAACGTCCAATTTCCCCTTCCTCAATGAAGGATATCAAACCAGTGACTTCCTCCGCCTAACCTCCCAGTCCTACCTTCATATTTCGCTTGTCCTCTATTTGGCTGCGCTATGGTGAACGTTGCGTATACACAGGCAACATATACTATGGGACTTATGCCCTAAAATCAGACACCGCTGACCTTCGACTTCAAAAGCTAGGCGAATGATAAAGAGTGGTGGGCCGGTGGCATACATCTGCGGCAGCATACGCAGCCCCGATTGCTCACAATGCCAATGCCGCAAGCGCCACGGAAGAGTTTCAGCAGAGAGCAGAGAAGACAGATTTGCCAACACGTTCTAAAGACCATTTGAAAGTAGTAACAAGAAAGTCCAACTTTCCTAGCTACCTATAGTATGGGCAGCTGTGATACTTCCGTTTGTATTTTAAAACGTATTAAATTCGAGGTAGCTCTTCGTCTAGCCTGTATAACATTGTCCGTTCCGTGTCTCCGTGCCAACGCAACGCACCGCGTTCCACCCCACCACACTTGGAACGATGTAAAGTAGGTCAAGTCGCAGCTGCGCGTTGACGTCACTTTCTCCCTCACCCGCGAAAGCTGCCGGCTCCTCCCAACACACCTAGGTGGTGTAGCTCCTCCGCCGCTCACGACACACTTCTCTCTCGCTTCCCCCTTTCCACCGCCCGCAACGCTCTACCCAACACCGATTAGCCGGTGTTGCTCTACCAGCACGTCGAATTGAAACACTCTTTCGGCTTGTTTGTCTGCGATGAAGCTTACACGAACCCAATCCGCCTCCCGTGTCTTTGCGTTTCAAAAAAATGTTTACTCGAGTAAAGGCTATACACCGAGTTTCATTTCAAACCGTTCTTCAAGCACCCGCGTCGACTGACGCCCGTTTCAGCTAGGTCAACAGCGTACGCACTGCTGTGGCTTCGCATCCCATCATGGTTCCCTTCGTGGAGATGGTCCATTATTTTTTATTTCTTTTCTTGCGCGAAACTTTATTCTCTGTAAATGTCATAAATCAATGCGGGTTTCCGGCGATGGACATCGGCTCAACCGACTGATGGTGCGAGCCCGGAGCACATATCTTTGTAATGAATGTCGAAAACACAATGGGCCGTCATTCTATCTAAATGATGACAAGATGATAAGTTACAGTTTTTGTTGCGTTTATCTCCGCTCTCTACAACCATGAACCTAGCTAAGTATAGCGTAACGCCAATAAGGTTTCTCTATCGCTCCTAGCAATCCCGTCGATCTCACGTCATTGAGATGATAAGCAGTTGAAGAGTCATAAGGCGTATATCTACCATTAACAATGGCCTTTAGCTCGGGAACGTCTCCAGCTGGCTTCGCTTATACGCGCCTCTCTCAAGAGGGCGTATATAAATTGCAGTGGCCCACGGTAGCTATCAGCACACGCTCGAATAGATATTAGCAAAGTGCCCCCGTACCCTACTTTCTGTAAACTTACCGATTCAGAACTTACCGTGAACCATGATTCGTTTTGTGGCTTGCCTTCTCCTATGTGGCTTGGCCGCTGCACAACGCAGGGACATTATCTACGAAGACTGCGGTAAGCTGTGGAATAAGACGTCGACGTTTCCCCTTAAGGAAAAAAACGCCGTTCACTTTATAAGATACGGGTGGCAGCTGGAATACGTAATTAACAGCTTAACAGATGCGACATATTGAATCAATCGGATTTTGTTATAAAGTGTGCAACTAAAGGAGCTGAAGAGTTGATTAGTAAAGATTATCTGCAATTTTAGTGTGTTTCCCGTTCGCACTCTCTGCTTGCATTCCTAGCACAATCCACTCCATTCGCAACATTCACGGAGTTAAAATCGGCTGCTGACCCTATGTCGTGATTCGATCTCAGCCGTGGCAGTTCAATTTCGATGGAAAGACCCATGTACTGAGTGATGTCAGGGCAGGTTAAAGAGCACCACATGACCTAACCTTTCGGAGCCTTCCACTTCGACTTGCCTGATAATCAACATCGTGGTTAGGCATGTAAACGTGGATTAGGCATGTAATTGTAATTTCTATTGCTAAAAGGTGATATTTCGAGTGAGTAAGAATATTGTCGCCAAGAGGAGTTCTGCAAACAACGCTGAATTAGTGTTCCCTCGTATTTCTTCATCTTTTTTTTCGACAACGTTGAGTAGCCACGTGGTACGTATACATTGACTAGCCCCGCTGCCTTTACCGCTGTTTTCCTCCCCCTACCGAAGCAGAACGTTTTATTAGGAAAGAAAGATAGAAATGATGGAAAGGCAGAGAGATTGACCGAAAGAGGAGCTGCTACTTTTCTACCTCTTTAGTGAAAAGGGAAACAGAGAAATGCCGAAGGACTTATTTGTTTCCTCTAGTCGCTAACGAAATTTTGTCTTCTTCGATATACAAGCAAGAAAGAACAAGTTGAGCACGCGAGTACTGAGAATTTTTCGCTGTGCAGGAGCTTCCTGTTGAATATTCTTCCAAGAGATTTCACAATAGGAACTTTTCATCTTTTCACGCGCGAAGAAAACGAAGTTCGGTGAAATCTACAGTCCCCAACTGTGAAGACATATATAGAATCGTTATGTGTAATTCACGAAGTACGGTACATTCTGTCCTATTAAGAATCATGTAAACCAAAACATATAGCTTATAGAGAAAAAAAAACATTCTGCCATACATAACGCACAACGATATGCTTTTTGATATCACGCACACGATACACTGATTCAACTCAACAAGGGGTGGGTTTGAGCTACTTCTTTCTCTATGGCCAGCTTTTGCGCAAAGTTCTTGGATGAAGAACAAAACAGGCGTGGATGACACGGTGTCTATTTCCCCCTTCGTCCAAAATATTTATAGAGCAAGAAGTAGTTGATCCAACTCGCCTTATTGCTGCGGTGTCCACGGAAACGAGAATATCAATGACATTCATCTGCAATGCGTAAAGGGCGTAAATGGAAGAAATAAAGTATTAGAAAAAAATCTTGCAGCTACATACGTGCACCCATATACATGTCAATGAAGGGAGGGAATTTCCCTTGTTTAACTCATCCCCAATGAAACCAGCAGATAATGAAGGGAAGGAAGGTATAGTGGAAAGATAATCATACTTATTTAAGCCTATATTGTAGGTGTTGTGATATGGTGTGACCAGTAAAGTGCGAAGCAAGAGAACTTGCCACCAGCAAAGAACGAACCTGCAGTCTTCGGAAATATATATGTGTAGCTACGTGCGCTCGTAGATATATGTACGAGGCGATGTGTTTGTTCGTATACTGCGAGTACAACCTCGACGGAAACATGTGCTCACGAACGTTCTATAACAGAGTGAACTGCCGCGCAATCATTCCTTTTTTTTTTCGTCTGCTACCTGTTATATGTTCACTTGCTCGTTCTTGCATTTGAATAACCATTTCTCACGCGGCATGACTTATCGAAAATTTGTTAGCCGAGGAAATATAAATTTTACCCTTTCCACTGCAAGCCAGTTAAGAGGTAGTAACGTAGAGTGTATATTTAAACCAAGTCTACAGATGGTGAGAATTCGTAGCACGTAGGCACCAGAAGTCCAAGAAGAAGGATGCAGGACCTGCGTTCTGTCCTATCGTATCTATCATTGTCTGCTTATGCGTTAAATCTTCGTTGTGCGTCGCCAATAAGGAACCACTTTTACCCCTGTAAAGTCTACAGGCTAGCAAAACTACTGTACCAAAAGACAAAAAAGCGGGGGAGGGGGGGAGGGGGCTATGGTTCTAATTACAAATACGCGAAACAGAAGTGTGTGGTACGCTCGTAATTTTTTTTTAAATACAGACGTCGGGGTTTCACGATCAAGCAAATAAACAAGCATAATCAAGAATAATTGTGTGTAAAGCAGTGGAGGCGACAAGCGAGAAAAATAGATGGAAACAAAATAGTCGCTAAGCGTAGTGTATTTACATGTTTTCGGAAGAAATTGTTAAAGTTCGTTCTTGAACAACTCGATCTTCATTCACTCCGTCTGACATGATCCTAACAGAAGCATCGTTTAAAAAGGTTACACGACCAATAACACGTATGGTGGAAGACAAAGCGATCTTGCAGGTTTTTGGAGATATCTAACTTTAACGCGAAAAGCGCGTACACTTCGTTTATATTTTTACAGGCAGTCAGGCGAAGATCCTCTCGGCCCAAATAGAGCCGTGCGACTCCGACCCCTGCGTCTTGAAGCGTGGCACGAAGCCCAAGGTGTACTTCACGGTTACCTCTGGTACGTTCTGCTTCATTTTTTATTTCTTGGCTCGTTATCTACCTTGATTTACATTAAAAAATTGCATGTACATCTCTTTGGAGTAAGCTTGGTTGTAATCTAATAAGTACAACGCAGTTGCACTACCTTGGTGCAAGTAACAGTACGAAATTTCTGGAATGATATTTCAACAATCAGTGTCGACTTAATAATTGCCCTTAGTGTCCTTTTAACAGCTGCTATAGATGTTCTGTACTATATAGAAATAGCTTAGGCATGGACCATTAAAAAATATGTTGGATTCCAAAAGCGTCTCTTGTAATCAATACATGTCTTATGTTAGATAAACTTTCAAACTTGGTGTAGAGATACGCTATCGATTTATGGCACGTTTTTTTTTTCGGGCCTATCTATACGGAAGTTATACTTCTGCCATTCACAATGCAGATGACGTCTGTCTCTCACTGATCTCCCTCATCTTTCAGACTGATTCCAACCAATTAGGAACGGGCAGAAAGCAACGCACTTTGTATTTTTCGACCTTGTTGCTTGAAAACTGTCCTAACCATATTACACCTACACAGCGATTACAACGGGAACTGTTCTTGCTGGATTCAGAGTGAACGTTCTCATTAGCAAGAATAATAGGTCCATGCCCATCGGAGATAAATCACACAGCAATGAAAGTGCTTCGATGTTCTTTGGAGACATCAAAATTTGTTAAGGGTATCGAGCGAACGACAGTTGAAATTCGATTTAGCAAAAGAACGATGACTTTCGTATTATTTCGATAAATGTGGAAGCTCGTAGAATTGAAGATATTTTTTCTGTCATTCGAAATGTAAATCGTTACGCAGCCGCAGTGACATTCAAAACCTACAGCGGCTTTGCCGCTTGCTGTGTGAAATGTCTGCGAGGGCATCCCGAGGGCGGCCCGGACTTGGAGCATCTCACTTCCCGTAGATTTTGGGACACACCTAGCCATGTACGGGTGATGCAGGCAGTGTTAGACGGTTATGAGCAGCTGCGGCAGGCTATCGATATGCGAAGACGCGAAGAACCAACGTAGTGAATTGGAGAGAAGTTGAGCGCGAAATTTATAGCGGATACCGTCAATGCTATATGTTGCATAAACCACGAAATAACGTAAGCACCTGCCTTTTGCTGAAAGAAAACAAAAAGAACTCGGGACCCCGATTTCGCAGCACATCAGCCCAGAAAACCACACGAGCCCTCCCGCACTACTTCAAGGCTACAGAACTAATGGCGAATTCCGTTGAGGGAACAAGAGTGAGGGGGTTAATGCAGTGAGGAGTGGGAGGCAGAGCACTGAGAGCAGGGTCACATGATCTACTACTGGAGGGGGGTGCGCTCCCGTAGAGTAGAAAAGAGGGTGATAGCGACGTTCAAAGGTCACGTGACTATCGTTGACTACACCTACTCCGCTTTTCAGTAGAGGACACTACGAACTGCGCCTGGCTGCTCTCAGCGCTGCAAAAACGCTCTCGCTCTATTTATGGATGATAGCACTCTTACTCCTGTTCGACCACCGAAACACGTCGGCTCTGAAGAGGGCGCTTTCAGCGTGATTTTGAGTGTTCCTGCTCTCCCAATAGAATGCGCCATAAGCGACCACCTGTGATACGCTGCAGCATAAATGTGCTCTAAAAGGCAGCGATTTTTCTTTTTCTTTCTCTTTTTTTTTTCACTCCCATCTTCGCCTCCCAAAGTGTAGGGTGGAAATCTGGATGTAGTCTAGTGACCTCCCTGCATTTGCTGTACTCCTTCTCTCTCTTTCCCTGGGTATCTGCGAGGGAATAAAAATTTCTTCGTTAGATTGAGAAGTTCGATAAACTGGGTTTTTCACTACCAAATAAGTTTTCACCACACATCGAAAGTGTACACCGTGCCTCTATGCGCGCCACGTTAAAACGAGAGCTGTTCACCTCACCTAACGTGGGAACTTCTATATGTATTTTCACTTCTCTGCAAATTTTTTTATCCCCACAAACAAAAATTGGGTAGCCGTCGCCAAGAAAAGGCGGCAAGCCCTTAATTCATTTTAACTTCAGTGATAGTTACGGAAAAGAGGTCTTTGCTGATCAGTCAGGATGAGGGTGGGGTTTGGCCAATTCGAGCAAGAACATGCGTTTTTTATTGACGCAAATGAATAAACACACGGAAACACAGCCATACGTTGCTTGGCTGAAAAAAAAGGGCATGTCTCATTGCAGAATGGTGGTGTTATATATCCAAATATTTACGCCGTTATGCGACATCAACAAGTAGTTATTTGAAATATAATAATAACGATACATGCGAAAGACTGAAGAGCCTACGTGCATGTTCTTTCTCTTGTTTATTGACGTGCACGTGATATTTTGTCCCTTATATTTTTGCGCTTTTTCAATAAAAATATTATAGGCATGCGCTTGGGCTGTTCTTCTGTCCATTTACCCCGTTTTCTCGTGCAGTTTCCTTAATAATATACACTCTAAAAATATCGAGTGAAAAGGGGTGCCTTTTTGTCCCACAACAATAATCGTCATCAGGCTTGCGTGCGCTTCCTTTCTTGAAAACTCGGTGCTGGCCACGTTTCTATCGAGAATGAAATGTAACCCTGATAATAGGCATATCGATCGTGACCGCAATGTACTGGGCGCAGGGCAATAGCGCAAAGATGGAACGTAATATATAGATGACGATTATTGTTGTGTGACAAAAAGACACCCTTTTTACTCGCTCTTTTTTAAGAGCGTATGTGGGAACGCTAGCCTAACACTTTTTGTAGCGGCAGATGGTTTTCTAAACTCTAAGCCGAAATTCGGCAAAGTTGGACTAACTGCAGTCGTTAAACCAACGGGCGAACAGTTTGTCTAACAAGGACTAAATGTGTGACTAAACGCCCGGCAATGTAGGGACCAACGGGAAGGGTAACTGCACCGAAATCGCCTTCCGTCGATGCTATTGCGCATTATCTGCTACCAAGGTATTCATAAAATTTCTAAGAACAACACGCTTGCACAAGCGGCCGTATCGAGTCATAATGATATCAACGATCTATCCGGGTGAATACAGAAACATATGCTGATTTTCAACTTGCCGCTGTAACTAAGCGATGGTATGATAAACGCTCCGAGCGCTTGCTGTTTAGGTATATACTTCAAAGTGCGGCGCATTCGCAAGTCTCTACTGCATCGAATGCTAACTTACGAGAGTGACGCTGAGGTATGTACGAGATACTTTCTTTCGGAAAGAAAGCATGACAACAAAATCACGATGGCGGTCCGGTGTAGCGGGGGCTCGCCTCTTATCACATCAAGCCACTTTATTTGGATATTTCGTTGGTTCTTCTTCACCTTTACGTCATAGACGTGTATTTTATGCAGGGACAGTGGTGCAATAAACTTTTTATTCTTAGGCTGACCCCAACTATATTTTCCACCTAGTTCGCTTGATGTAACACAGAGAACCAGACCGCACTTTTGTTTTGTTTTCCGTCGATTGAATCGTTTCCTGCGCCAACTCCCAGATCAGGACACCGAGAAGGCCACGCTGGATGCTACAATCGGCGTGTTCGGCCTCGAAATTTCGGTGCCCGGCCTGGATAAGGACCTGTGCGAGAACATGGTGAAGTGTCCCATTAGCAAGGGCCAGACCTACTCCGGCGTCATGGAAGTGTACGTGCCGCCATTCGCACCAGCCGTAAGTAAACTTTGGAGGTCATTCATGGTCGCACAGACGGCGTTACTTTTTGTTATGACATTTTCCTGCTGGTCTGTAGTCGCTCAATAAGAGCAGCCTGGTTTGTTTGGTTATAAAACAAATAAATTCAAAGCGCACAACCACATCAAGGCAAAAAAAAAAAACACGCAAGAAACACAGGTGTCTTAGCGCTTATGTGTCTTACGTGTTTTTTGTGCTGATCTTATTGCATACTTTGAATTTATTCGACATGTCATACAATCACGCCCAAACCACCACAATTGTGTTTGACACCACATTAATAACGCAAATAGCCTTACATGCCTCATAAAAAGCGAAAATTGAACAAAAGTACGTATCGCCAATATCAATGACGTTACTGCGACGTCACCACATGACGTAAAGATGTGCCGATCACAGAGGCAGTCAAAAATCCCGTGACAGGCAGAAAACTTTCGCAATGAGGAGGGAGGGGTGGTGGAATCAATACGTTACGGGCTTTTAGCTTGTAAGTACGTATACATCTTTACGTTACCGTTTTAGCGGTTTACGTTACTTTGTTACCGGGACCCGAGGTTAATGCGAATGCGTAAGTAATCCTATGAGTTTTTTTTTTTTTTTGCTGCGAACGCATCTACAACAAAAAGTCTCAGTAGCACCCACTAAGCCTTATTTATTCGCCGCGTCACATGCTGTGTATGAAATGGAATATATGGTGCACCTTTTTAAGATGAAAGAAGGCCTCGAATCTAGCTAAGCACCAATAAATAATAATAATAATAATAATAATAATAATAATAATAATAATAATAATAATAATAATAATAATAATAATAATAATAATAATAATAATATTATTATTATTATTATTATTATTATTATTATTATTATTATTATTATTATTATTATTATTATTATTATTATTATTATTATTATTATTATTATTATTATTAATATTATTATTATTATTATTATTATTATTATTATATTCCTACTACGACTACTGCTAGTAATACTAATGATAATAATGATATTAATAAAACTACAGCCACTCTCGTTATACTGTTCTATATTTCACAAATATTTTCCCTGAACCACAAGTCGGTGGATGAAGCGGAAGTGCTGCGCACGAAACAAGAATGTCGCTCGAGGTGCATGCCACAATGCTTCTCATTGGGCTCGTGGCTTCCACGATCTGCACCGCCAGGGGTGCCCAGTCAGTGCCGATCATGGAGGTCATGTTAAACAACACATATTTCAGACGGTTTGTGTAAACACACATACAGTGGTACTCGCTTACCTTAACACTGAAATATCGGCCCTTTATGACGGCCCGAGAAAGCATGCAGATGAACTTTTCTACCGTTTTCAATAACGTCTCTAAGCTGGGTATAAACAATTATTTAACCATACTCGCTTATAACTTTCAATGAACACACGTGCTTAAAGGTTCTGAACCCTTCTAGTCACGCCAAATGTCCTTGACAAAAGCGAAGGCGAGGATATACCTTTACGTCATCGCGAGGATTTGACGTGTGCTAAAATAAGAGCTTGTCTTTTTTTCCCTCTCCCTCTTCGCAGATGAAGACTCACGTCTCACTCAAGGTGGTCGGTGACAAGGGCGTTAGCGTCTGCGCTAAGACACCTATTATGGTTGAGTAAACCAACTACCTCGGCTTTCTCCCACACTGTGCATCCACCTGTCAGAAGCCAAGAGCACTGCACCATACTTAAATGCCAACTTAAGATGACGTTTTCCGTAGGCTCTTCCGCTACCCCTCTCCCACCCCATCCCAGTAGGAGACCACTCTTTCCAGCAGAGTCCTTCATGACTGCAGAGACGACATAATTACTGCACCAACCGGATCGCAGAAAAGAATGGGGCTGTGGACAGAGAGCTTCACAGAAACAACTAATAAAGTTTCCTTCTTCTACTGCAGTCGGACAATAATCTTCCATTATTATTCCGTGAAAACGACATTACTGCCATTTATATGATTTGACACCAAGGTTTAAAAAAGATTGCTCGATTGGAAGCTCACGCAATGCTTTGCCAGCAGTAGTGAAGCCAGCTTTTGCCATTCAAAGATCTCAGAAACATGCTATTTTCTGGTGATGCCCACTTGGACATCAAGTGGCTTGCATTTGTTAGTCTAAAAAATAAGGTTGTTTCTCTCTCTCTCTCTCCCTTGTTAGTTGAAAGGCTACGGTAATTATGAAGAAAACATAGTTGTTTCCGAAGAAACAATCCGCGGAGACTCGTATCGATCGCTTAATCTCCAATAAAATTTGCCTTCAATTCAAGGATTTGCCTTGAATTCAAGGCTTACTAAAGAAAACTAGCAACGCAAGGACGCACTTGAAGCACTATCTTACCCGAAAAGGTTGCTACGTTGAACTCGTTGACCGTGCGAGGAAAACGCTCTTTCGCGATCGCTGAACGCCAACTGCTCATCATGCCCCTAGTAAGATGGCTGCCGCAGCCGCCATCTTACGGTTGGCATGCCTTCATTTGTGGGCAAGAATTTCCACTCCAGCAATTTTTGTAAACCTCCTTGTTCGACACACAGAATCTGTGTAGCATGGACCCGGACAAGAAAAGGAAAGACAAGAACATGAGCAATGTTTTATTACTGGATGAGTCGTAAACACCATCATCGGTTCTAGGACTGATAGCTTCCTAGTGGTTTTTCGATGATTTTTTCGAGATGGCGACCTCATGGGCTCTTCGTGTGACGTGGACTTGCATGTCCGCAGCAAAGCTGGCCTGCAGGATCTGCCGCTTTCGTGAGCCTACGAACTTCTGTAGTTCTTTGGTTGATGGGCTTGACAGGCAGCCTCAAAAGATGTTTTCCATTGGGACTCTCTCCACAATTCTAGCAATGACTTGTTTGAATTCATCCGAGTTGGTTTGGTGCATTCTGAGAGGATTTGGCAGTGTGTTGGTAAAGAGTTGTCCTCATACATTAACTTCAGCTTTGGTAAGTATTTTGTGATGCGGCGGTATGGGTTGCCTACCTAGTTGGAAAACTGCACGTGTGTTTCTATTTTTAGACGTCACCAGTCGCGCTGATCGCGGCGATAACGGTGGCCTCATGGGGTCGTACCAGCGAGCGAGTTAGCGCAGTGCGCTCGAAAGATGTCTGGGTTATTGACGCGTGGACCAAGCATGCACTATGCCTCCCGCTCAAGCAACGTGTTTTGTACTTATCCTAGACCTCGCTGTGCGCCTCGTTTCTTGAAGGAATTGAACACTACGTCGTGTGCCTTACCAGACGCTGCGAGCAGCTGGTTACGTAATGGAGAGTTTCAGTACTAAAACTCTCTATTAGAGAGTTTTAGTACTGAGTACGCTGCGTACGTGGCGGCGTTGCGTACGTAAGGACGCCACGTTCTGCGTAGTGCGCATGCGCAGACCGCAACGCGCACGTATCGCATTACGTACGCACGCATGAGATGCGTCCGTGCGTATATATGAGGTGATCGCGCCGCTCTCGAACAAGTTCGCGACAGCACGAGGCTTCGTTTTGCAAAATGGCGCCATCGAAGGCAAGCACCGACCGGCTCTGTGGCTTAAAATAAGGCAATAATCTGGCTATAACACTTGGATTGGCCCACACTGGCTGTCAACAACACGTGCTTCTTTTTTGATCTACCAGATGGCGCAACACGCTTCACGCTCGTTACGTACGCGGGTACTACGGCGTACTAAAAACCGATTAGTGGCAAACGACGCCACGTAACGCAAGGCGCTTGCGTGATGCAAACGTAGCACAATTCCGCAGTACTAAAGCTCTCTAATATGGGGTCCAAGATACTAAGTCTCCAGGCTGCGTTGTGTTGGTTGCTTTTGGGTTCGGAGGATTAGCAGAGTGTGAAAACTGGGTCAAACGCAGGCTGGGTCAGGCCAAACGCACGGGACGCCACCATTGACCAAATTAAAAATTATGCGAGACGCCGGTCATACGTCACCACGGCTTGCGCTGCGTCTGGTTCGTCTCGCCGGTGACCCAAGATGCCTAGAGGGCCACGCTAGTTTTCGATTTTAAATGCGAAACATTTCTTAGCCAACTTCGGCGACTTTGAGCGTATCTATCTATTCATCTAGCCGCCTACAACTTTTAGCTCTCCTGGCCGCTTCGATAGGGTATCGATACCAAACTTGGTATAGCATAGCCTGACTCTATTAACAACACATTTGGCTAGTCATAACGTAAAAATCATGACATGTATGGCATGAATGTCATGATTTACATTTAATCGTCCTGCAGGTCTTGCGGTGGTTTTGTTCACATGGCATGTTGCAAAACTGGTAATGTATGGCATGATTGCATGGCGAGCACAAGCGACAGACCCTGACATAAAAATCATGACTTGCGTGTCATGCTGAGCGTGACTACATGCCACGATCATGAGGCGCTGGACGTGAATGGATGATCAAGGTATAATACTGGTGCAAAAATCATAAACGTGAGATGCATGTGATGCAACAATATGACTATACATGCTACGCTCTTGATGCGCTCGCGGCCGTTTCGCGAGATTCACACGTATCAAACTCGGTCACGCGACGCTAATGGATGACATAGGTAAATGACACATCCAAACATGATAATTATGAAATGCGTGTCATGTAACAACATGACTACCTGCCACACTGATGATGCACTCGTGACCATTTCACTAGCTTCCCATATGCCAAATTTGGTATTACGCGATGCCAATGTATGATGAAGGTATGTTACTGGTGCAAATATGACAATCATGAGATGTGTGTTATGTGAAAACATGACTACGTGCGACGGTCAAGGCGCCAATACATTTCGACGTGACACAGTGCGCGTGCTCACCGGCGTTCATTTCGTCGCACCTCGCCAGCGTTGCCACGCCAGGCGCCGTTCCTGCCATATACTCGCAGGCGCGCGCCGCACTACGTTCCTTTGACGCATGCGCGTTTCAGGGCATCCAGCGTCCCACCGTCACGAAAAGAGGGAGACGCAGTGTTGGCTGGGTAACACATCGGCGAGAGATGCAGCATGTCGCAATTCGCGCTGGCTGCCGTCGGGCTGCGCCGACGGATGCTGGTGGCGCCTGCCATCAGACTATAGAGTGCTCGCGTTTTGCTAACGTAGCGTCGCTGTGCCCAGCGTGCACGCGCGTCAACGCTACATTGGAGTATGTTGGGCCCTTCATGATGCACTCGCGGCCGTTTTGATAGCTCCTCATACACCAAGTTTGCTGTTACGTGACGTCAATGGATGACGAAATATATGACTGGTGCAAACATGATAATCCTGACACGCGTGTCTAGTAATTTATTGATTGATATGTGGGTTTAACGTCCCAAAGCCATCATATGATTATGAGAGACGCCGTAGTGGAGGGCTTCGGAAATTTCGACCACCTGGGATTCTTTAACGTGCACCCAAATCTGAGCACACGGGCCTACTTCATTTCTGCCTCCATCGGAAATGCAGCCGCCGCAGCCGGAATTCGAGCCCGCGACCTGCGGGTAAGCAGCCGAGTACCTTAGCCACTAGACCACCGCGGCGGGGCACGCGTGTCTTGTAAGAACATGACAACATACCACGCAGCGTGCTCGCGGCGGTTTCGCTAGCTCCACATGTACTAAATTTGGTATCACGCGATATGAATAGATGACGAACGTAAACGACACATCCAAACATGATATTCATGACACAGAAGTAATGTACGGCATCATTTACCTCCACCTCGTAACGTTGTGCTGATTTTAAAGTGAGATATCAACATTTTCATTCGTGCTTCGAATATCATCGATTCCCACTGTACGTGGGATCTGCCAATTTTTCGAGTTCGATTGAGTGTACAGCCGCCTATATTTTTCACTATCGTGAGCAGCTGCGACATTTCTTTGTGTCAGTGCCATATGATGAAAATAAGCTACAAAAAATTGTTTTGTGGGCTTACATTATGGCAAGCTTTTTTTTTTCAATCTTAATCCTGTCGTATTGTAAAGGTGTATATGCACGAGAAACTGCCACTCGTGCATGCTATAGTTAATAGTTTGGTCAGCAGTACTTCGATTTACGCCAACAAAGTTGATCCTGGCACAGCCACATTTAGCGTGCCTCATGTTACTATGATATATAGGGTTTTAGCATCCCGAAGCCACAATGTCACCATGATGAATGTCGTAATGGAGGACTACGAAAAAATCTGACAATACCGTGTTCTTTCGCGTGCACTCACATCTCCCAGTATGTGGGCATCAGCCATATCGCTTCTATCGAAATTCGGTCGTCGATTCCGGGATCGAAGCCTCGACCTTCGAGTCAGCAGTCCAGCACCTTAGCTACTGTTCCACCCAGACGGACACCCCTCATAAGTGGATTGCGGCACGTAAAAGCGCTCATTATTTAATTAACTCGGAAGGTGCGGCGACGCTCGTGATCAGTGCTCGTTGTGAATCTGACGGCGGTCTTGCAGCGATACGTTCGAGAATATATTCGTTTTCTCTAAAGCCAAAAGCAGGCTTCCTGCGCGCAAGTGCAGGAAATAAATCTTACGCCCATAATACATTCTTCGAAACGCCGCGTTATCGTAGCGCTTTCGCAGATTTCTGCATTTCACTTCGGTAAAGCGAAGGCGACACCGCCAACTACGCAGTTGCTGTCGAAGAACATGATGTTAGCTTCAAAGCTCGGCCGCAGCATGCTGACGGGACTTTTTTTTTTAGATGCGGGGCATCTAATACTCGAGGCTTGTAGTGCGGCGCCGTCCGCAAGCTTCCTCCTCCTTCTTCCACCATCTGTGCATCCCTTCCTCCTCTACACACCGCGCGCGCTTCACTGCTCCACCATCTGTGCACCCTTCCTCCTTTACACACCGCGTGCGCTTCTCCTCTTCACGAACATTCGCTAGCTGTATAATGTAGCGCGCATGCGCCGTCATGCTTCGAGAACATCGGCAGCTGACGCGCGCGCATGCGCCGTCGCGCTTCGAGAACATCGGCAGCTGACGCGCGCGCATGCGCCGTTGCGCTTCTCCCCCTTCTCGAACATTCGACAGCTGACAGTGCATGCGCCGTCGCACTGTATATATACTCAAGGTCGGCGCTCGCTCGCTCAGTTGCCGCTCGTCGGTTGGTTTGTACGGCGCGTCGACGTCCAAGGTCGCGGTGAAATGAATTTCAACGAATC